GTAAGTTTGACAGACAATATTTCTACATATGTATTTGTATATGCTATAAGAATGTCCATATAAATAGAACTAACAGGGGGCAAAGTTATGATAACTTCTTACCACAGCCAACCACTCCGAGGGAGCAAGTTGTTGGGCCTGTGGGCTTGGATCATAGTTGCAGGGGACATCAAGCTCAATTGGCATAATATACTACACAAAAACATTGTTCTACATCCTACTTTGCTGAGTAGCAACTGGGGTCTTAAAAGCTTGCAAGTGGCCATCTAGATGCAACAATTGGTCTCTCCTTGTCTGAAGCAAAGAAGAAAGAAGAAATCCAAAGACATATGAAAACAATTAGTCCAAGGGACTAGTGTACTCTGCAAACCTCAGCCTACATGATCCTGAGACCAGAAAAACTAGATGGTGCCTGGCTACCACTGTCAATCACTCAGAAAGGGATCAGTGCAGAAGATCCTGGATAGAGTGGGAGAAGGATGTGGAGCAAAACTCAAAATAATAAAAATAAAATAAAAAAGACCAGGCTTACTGATCTGATAGATTGGTGAAACCCTCAAGACTATGGCCCCTAGTCACTCTTAAGGCCTGGAATTGAGCTCACTCCAATGGCTTCCAGCCAACAGTAGACAAGCATATAAGATGAACATTTATACCAGGTAGGGACACTTCTCAGAACAATCAACCACAGGAGATCAGAAGGGCAGTATTTGCACAGGGAGATAGCTCCAAGGGCAGGAATTCTTAGGAAAGAAAGATACAGGGAAAAGGTAACCACAGGCAGGAAGTGAGAAGAGAGCTGTTACATTATGGGGATTGCACTCAATGTCACGAAACAAAATATGTATGTAAAATGCTGTATGGAAAATGAAATTGCTCTGTAAACATTCACTCAAGTCACAATGGGAAAAAAATAAGTGGAAATGGTTACACAACTCTGTGAATAAACTAAAAACCATTTATTTGGCCACTTAAAATGGGTGAACTTTGTGTTGTGGATTTTATCAATAGAGCACCTTAAAAAAAAATTCTTCTCCAAAAGAGTAAAAAACCTATAGACTGGGGAAAAAAATTTGATAATGACATATCCAACGAGGGACGTGTCTCTCAATTTATAGAAAACTTCAATATGTCAGCATCACAAAGACAAACAATCCAATTCAAAAATGGCCAGAGGACCTGAACAGACACGTCACCAAAGAAGATATTCAGGCAGATAAAAAACACATGAAGAAATGCTTGCGATCATTAGCCATTAGAAAGATGGAGATCGAAACAATGAGATATCATCTCACTCCAGCATTAACAGCAAAGTTCAACAGGACAGAAAGCAATAAATGCTAGCAAGGGTGTGGGGAGATTGGAACTCTCATACACTCCTAGTGGGACTGTAAAATGATACAACTACTGTGGAAATTGGTATGGTGCTTCCTTGAACAATTGGAAATAGAAATGCCATTTAATCCAGCAATCCCATTACTAGGAATATATCCTAAAGAGGTGAGATCCGGGACATGAACTGATATTTGCACACCATGTTCATTGCAGCACTATTTACAATAGCAAAGAAATGGAAACAACCTAAGTGCCCATCAACAGATGAATGGATAACCAAACGATGGTACATATACACAATGGAATACTATGCAGCATTAAAGAATAATGAAGAATCAGCGAATCACCTCATAACATGCATGAACTTGGAGGACATTATGCTGAGTGAAATAAGTCAATCACAGAAGTGCAAATATCGTATGTATCCATTATTGTAAAAAGACAAGAAAAGAGAAGAATAGTATGGTACTTACACACAATGGAATGCTATGCAACATTAAAGAATAATGTAGAATCTGTAAAACACCGCATAACGTGGATGAACTTGGAGGACATTATGCTGAGTGAAATAAGTCAATCACAGAAGGACAAATACTGTATGAGTCCCTTATTGTAAAAAGTCAAGGAAATGTTTATATATAAACTTTCTTTGCTAGTTACCAGGGGTGGGAGGGGAGGGAAAGGAATTAAACAAATAAATAAAGTCAAGGAAAGGTTTACACAAGGAAGGATATTTTCTTTGTTGTTTACCAGGGATATAAGAGGAGGAGAGGGGAGGGATAATAAAAGAATTTAAAAAAAAAAAAAAACCTTAAAACTGGACCAATAAGCAATCTCCTGATAAACAGGGAAAAGATTTCAAGGATTTAATTTTACTTGGATCCACAATCAACACTTTTGGAAGCAGCAGTCAAGATATTAAATGATGTATTGCATTGGGAAAATCTGCCACGAAAGAACTCTTTCGAGTGTTAGAGAGCAAAGATGTCACCTTCACCCAAGCCATGAGACTTTCAATTGCCACACATGCATGCAAAAACTGGGCAAATGAATAAGGATGGCCAAAGAAGAATCAGTGCATTTGAATTACGGTGTTGGCAAAGAACCTTGAATAAACTGTGAAATGCCAGAAGAATGAACAAATATCTGTTTTGGACAGGATGCTCCTTACAAGCGAGGATGGCAAGAATTTGTCTTATATACATTAGACATGTCGTCAGGAAAGACCAGTCCCTGGGAAAGGATATCATGCTTGGTAAAGCAGAGGATCAATGAAAAGGAGGAAGACTCTGAATGAGATGGATTGACACAGTGACTGCAACAATGTGCTCAAACATTGCAACAATTGTGAGGATGACTGTGTACTAGGAAGTGTTTCACTGTGTTATACATAGGGTCACCATGTATTGGAACCAACTCCATGCCACCTAACAACAAAAATATAGTGATGGGGAACAGATTACTGTTTGCAAGGGGTTGCAGTGGGGGAGGATTGACTTCAAAAGGATAGCAAAAGGGAATGTTGGGAGAAATGGAACTGTTTTGTGTCATGAATCCATACATGTGTCAAAAAGTCATGGAACTGTACATTTAAATAATGGTCAACTTTACCGTATATTCATTTTAAAAAAGTAGATAGGAAAGTGGATGCTGGTTTGTTTCTTCTTCTTTCTTCTCTTCCATTCATTCATTTATTCAGCCATTTATTGAGGACCTACTATGTGTGAGGCACTGTGCTAGAGTTTGAGGATCAACTGAAAGCCAGACAGTCCCTGCCCTCATGGAGCATTCTTCTTGTTTCAGAAAAGTGGTCAGTATGGTTTGGAGCAAGGAGGAGACTAGAAAGAGACCAGGTGAGCAAACTTTTCATTAGCTAGAGCCAGCACTGTAGGATTTCAAGTGATGAATTTTCACTTAAAGACTCTTAGGCCTGAGGGCAGGCGAAAACTCCCAATGCACACTTCATAGCCAGTCACAGAAGAAAATACTAGGAGAGTTGTGCCCTGCTAAGAAGGGAAGAAACGTTGAGGGATGGGAGATTTTGTGCCATTTTGTGAGTTTGTGAAGTGTGGACTCTGAAAAGTGTTGCCTTGATTTTTGTGTGGGTGTGGCTTAAAACAGCCATATATTTAGTTCATGATTCTGTGGATTGGCCGTTAATTCTGGGCTCAGCTGGGCAGTTCTAGTTTTCATCTAGCATCTGCAGTTAGCTGGTGGTCAATAGCCTCACTCACATGTCTGGTGCTTGCTGGGATGACAGGGGAAACTGAGCCATGTTTCTCATCCTACAGCAGGCTAGCCTGGGATTGTTCATATAGTGAAATCACAGGATTTCTAAGAGCAACAAGAGAACAAACCCCAAAATGGAAGGTGGTGGTTTTTTTGGTTTGTTTGTTTGCTTTGTTTTTTAGCAACTTTATTGAGGTATAATTCACATACCGTTACCTAAATTTGAAGTTTCTTTTCTCTCTTGTTTGCAGGGAATCTGAAGCATGTGGTCTAGTTGACAAAAAGAGATCAGGTTTCCAGAGCTGAGGAGCAGTGCCTGTAATGAAGACAGCATGTTTATATGAGCAGTTTTGGGAATTTGTGACTGCAGGGGAAATTTGGAAGAAATTACTTCCTGAAGAGTTCCAAGGGGCACCAAGTGGCAGCTGACCTCCTGGGGTAAGGCAGGCAGGCACCCCAGATGCCTCAACAAGGCCAAGGGGAAGAGGGAGATTTCCAACATTTAAAATGTTTATTTAAAAAAAAATGCAGTTTTTAATCTTTGGAAATTATTTTTAAGTGAGTTAAGGATGAGGGTGTTTTCCTTTTCTTAATGGAACAGATCAGAATCTGAAGGAGAGCACGGAGCCCGCTGGGTGGGGGAGCGGTTGCCATAGCTCAACAGCAGGGTTTGGGCCTCAGAACCACCTATGTGGAGCCCTGGGAGATAACAGGTAGTCAACAGACTGGGAGGTGGGGAGCAGTCCACTTGTGTTGTTTTTAAGGGTTGTGTATCTATTTTGTTTTTTAATAAAATATTTTAAAAACTTACCTTTTTGTCTCATTGTCCTCATTTTAAATGAAGCTAATAACATACACAGTTTTGAACTCTTTCTCTTGCTAAAGTACCAAGAATAACTCTGATGCTTCTGCACTTTGCTCTGTCCTGCCTGGGAGATAAACCTTGAGTGCTGGGTCTCACTAAGGAGCCACTGTATCTCCAGCCAAGTCTTGGGGACAGAGTGTCATGTTTTGCCCAACACTGGGGCCCTACAGTGGGAGGGAAGTTGCATGGGAATGCACACCCACAGCCATGGAGAAGATCTTGCTGGCGCCCTGGGAAGGAGATGTCTCAGCCCAGGGAGGAGTTTGGGGATAGGAAGGGCAGGTGGCATGTCAAATCTAAAAGGAGAATTTTGATAGATGGAGAGAATATTTCCCCATCAAATGTAGACCATCAGTACACATGATAAAAATGGGAAGCAATTGTGATGTACTAAAAACTAGTTGCCACTGATCCCATGTGTGTCAGAGTACAACTCTACTCCATAAAGTTTTCAATGGCTGATTTTTTGGAGATAGATTGCCAACATTTCTTCTGAGGTGCCTCTGTTGTTGTTATTAGGTGCCATCGAGTTGGCTCTGAATCATAGTAATCATATGTACAACAGAACAAAATACTGTCCTGCGCCAGCCTCACAATCCTTGCTGTACCCGAGCCTATCGTTGCAGCCACTGTGTCAATCTATCTCATTGAGGGCCTTCCGCATTTTCTCTGACCCTCCATTTTATCAAGCATGACATCCTTCTCCAGGGAATGGTCCCTTCTGACAACATGACCAAAGTAGGTGAGACAAAGTTTGGCCATTCTCGCTTCCAAGGAGCATTCCGGCTGCACTTCCTCCAGGACAGATTTGTTAGTATTTTTAGCAGTCCATGATACTTTCAGCATTCTTTGCCGACACCACA